AAGTGAGCATATGAATCTTCGTGATCAAGACCAGCGAACTGTTGTGAGCTCACTAGATTGAGAAAAGCAAACTTCATTTCCATGAATCTTGAGGTATTCGGGGTTGCGATGCTAGAGAAATACCTTTGACCTTGTTGTTGAGCATAGTCCCCTAATGTTCTTCTAGGTGGTACAACTTGTCTATCATTATTATGAATATTGTCCCATTCTTTAGTCATTTGTGCTCCTTCCGGTTAGTTAGAGGAAGTTGAGAAAGGAGGTAACAAAAAATTTTATTGTCGTCTTTGGAGCACCTCCAACTGTCTGCGCCTTCTTGTGTTACCATGGTTTCTCCTTGCTGTCTTTTCAATTTCTAGATAAAAAATGAGCTATTCGATTAGAGTCTTTCCTCGCATGCAAGTTCAACAACGCTACACAGATGGGTGAGTCCACAAACACAAAACTATATATGTATAAAATGTAATAATATGTACATCTATTCACAATATCTCAAAAGCGAAATCACTTAGTATGCCAAATCCCCAGCAACGGCGCCAGAAACTTGTTATTTTTCCAATGGATTCAAATTACCCAGAAAGTCTACCAAGTTTCGATGTAGTAAAGAGTTATCGTCCACACGGATTTGTGACTTAGTGATATTGCAAAATAAGATATGATTATCATCATGGATCGAAAGTATGATTTGAGGCAAATAACTAAAAATAAGCGCAATATTTAGTATAACGAAAAGTGAATATAAATAAAACAGATCGAATTACATGCACTTGCTTCCAGCCCTATTTCCCAACCATATAATTTCAGTTTTTACAATTTCACTCTCAGTAAGTAACTTAGCCCGATTCTTCAAAACAAAGTCCTAGGTTGTTAACCTTGAACATGATTCCTCAACGGTTCGAAACCAACACTCTGTCTTACGAACAAGTCTTGAGATTAACGTGATTAACAAACACACTTCTATTCCTGTAGAGGTTGTCTATTAAGTATTTAATCTAGTTTTGATTAATGAAAATTTTTCCAACGGAATAAAAAACCTCGAATCTTAAATCGGTTGATCATTCCGAAGAAAGCATTAAGAATAGAACCAAACACAACTACATCAAATAAAAATCATATATATTGAGAAATGGTCTGAAAGTAGTTACCTATAATCCAACCCAAAGAGTTTTAGCCCCTCATGGAGGAACCCATTACAAAACAAGAGAAGAAGAAGAATAAATTACAACAAAAACTTGTTGGATTCTAGTGGATCTACATTCCCACGAGCTCCTTTAGGCGTGAATGGTCTCCTCTTTCTTTTTCCCCGTCCGTTTGTATCCCCTTTCTCTGTTCTTTTAAATCTTAAATAGATATTAGGTCTAAAGAGAGGGAAATTCGTTGGGCTATCCTGTAATGCACTGGCCAGATCCTTAAAATTATTAGAGATCTTTTTTCTGTCCAATCCGCTGGGCGCATCTCAGAAGGCGCTGGGCGAATTTGACTCTTGTTGAACCTTCTCTGGCTGACAAATCCGCTGAGTGCAGATAGTGTGCGCTGGGCGGATTTTCTTCTTCCAATATTTCTTTTTCTCTTCCTTCAAATCCTGAATCAAAGAACAACTTGGAAGAATAGTTACTTGATAATATCTTCTCATGATTTTTATGCTCTTTAAGGTTAAATATACAGCAAAAAGATGCAAATGTTGTCTAATAAAGGTGAATTTCTCAATGAAATTTATACTCAATTAGTTCCTTAACAGTCATGTGATTGGAACATCCTGTGTCAAGAAACCATTTTCAGCCACAAATTCCTCTTCATTGGTTGTAACTATTAGCACTACAAGCTCTTCTTCTTACTCATCCTGAGCAATGTTTGTTTTAGCTTCAACAAATTCTTTCTTTTGTTTACCTTTTCCATGCCAATAATGAGCAACATAGTGGCCCCACTTTTCACAATTCTAACACTATATCTTTTTGCAATCTTGAATCTATTTTTCCTCCTCTACCTCTACCAAAACTGCTTTTGGCTGACCTTGTATGTTTTGTGTGCTCACTAGAACCTTATTCTTTATTCAAAGAACTGCAATCTTTGTTAAATCGCCCACCTGGCTTGTTCTTCTTCCATTTGCTTCGAGAAAAGCCTCCTTTCTTCGTAGCTTGAGCCTTCAATGCTTGTTCTTCACTGACCTTTTCAGCATTGCGTGACAGAAGCTTCAACTCATGCGCTTCTAGCGACCCTTGCAACTCCTCTATCGACATCTTTTTTATGTCTTTTGATTCTTCAATGACTACCACAATGTAATCAAAATTTAGTGAGAGCGTATGCAAGATCTTCTCCACCATACTCAGATTTGTCACTAATTCTCCACATGCTTTTATTTGATTAACCAACAACTGCAGCCGGTTAAAGTATTTCTATTACACTATATGATTCTTGTATAGACAACAATTCATACTACCTCCTTAAGGACTGTAATCTCACCTTCTTGATATTCTCTACACCTCCATGCATCTTCTGTAGTATATCCCATGCTTCCTTTATTGTTTTTACCTTGGAAATTTTCTCAAAATTCACTGTATCCACACACTGATGCAAGAGACAACGAGCCTTGCAATTTTTCTTCTTATTTGGAGCTTCATCCTTCTCACAGGCACCCTCTATCACAATTTATCCATGGTTCTTTATAGCCAAGATTGACCTTCATCATTATAACCCAGTGGTTATAATTTCTTCCATCAAGAATCGCTAGATTTGAGAAAAAAAAATTACTTCCATTTCTAGCCATTATAAACACTAAAAAATTTGTCTAGAACCTCAAGACTACTCCTAATACCACTTGTTGGTAAAGAAGGAAAAAAGTAATCACACAAAAGTAGACATACGCCTTATACACAGCCTTGTACACTGAATATTTTTATATATATTAATATGATATAAGAATATGTAACTTTTATATAGAATTAACGTAACAAAAAATAAAAAACTAATTGTCATCTGCTTGAATGAGTTATATACAACATAATCTTGCTTAATTTTTTTACATAATTATTTTATTAAATAATATAAAAAATATGAGGAAGAATAAATTTTTAATTTTTTTTAAATAATTAAGTAAAATACTTAAAAATGATTTGATATTCTAAATTTTTATTGTATTATTTAATATTTTTAAAATAAAAAATAACTCGAGTAATTTTTACTGAAGATGTTAATCATAATTTTTACTATTATTATATTAATATACGATGATTTTATGTAGATTATTTTTATCCACCCGTCATCTATCGATTTAGCATTACTCCTGTATTTCGACATCTACCAACAACTGAGACAGATTGTACGACAATGGATACTTATGATTTAGATTTTGTGTAGCATTCAGTAGTTTACGAGTCTTAGTCAATCAAATCAAACCCTTCGTTCCACGTTTTATAAAGGACATTGGGTCCTTCGGTGCTACTACCATAAACATGCATCCATTAAAGTTTATGACTTTTCATACATATGGCTCTCATTTTCCTCTAATATATTGCTTAGTTTTTTCATCATTCTTTCTTTCATCTTAAATTCTCACAAATACAAATTATTGGAGGATAAATTGTGGAGGAAAATTGAAATGAAAAGATATTTGTAAATGATTGTGCCCCAAGAGACATTTTCATTTATTGGCACCATCCTGAACCTAACATGAAGACCAACACAACATTGACCATATGTGGCAAAGGCTCCAACATTACTTTTAATGTTCCATTTTATATCAAGTTTTTTTTTTTTTTAAATCTTTTATAAATAGATCTAAGTGAAATTGAATATATACTTTTTAACAAGTTCAACTAAAACTTTTAATAAAAATTGTTTGAATAAGGGAATAACGTTTGAACTATTAGTTTTTTGAAATCTAGGTCAAACTTTAAGAATTTTGTTTGACTTTACTCATTAATATATTTGACAAAAAAAACTATTTTTATATAGTTTTTTAAAATTTTAATTTTAATTTTAAATATATATTATCTTTATTTCATGGATTTTTAATTTAAATTAATATCTAAATATGTAATTATTCATGATTTTTCACGTAATTATGAAACATATCTTGAACCTTTTTTATTTTCTTCTATCAATCAATAACCAAAGCACATCTAAGTATTTACTATCTCTGACCGTCATTGGTGCACCCGTTATTAAATATGATCTCGAGCGTTTATTGGTCCTTTTTTTTCCAAATTTGATCAATCTTCGTACCATTGTATTTGGTCAAGTAACAAACACAAGATCTTAATAAAATAAAATATTCATCAATGTACACATTCCAATAAAACAATCTTTTTGGGTTATTAAATTAATTACTACGGACATTAATTTACTAATGTTTGCATTTTATGCGATTTTTTAATTGTTGAACATTGTTCAGAGAAGAGGCTATGGTATGGCCACGTCGTTTAAAGAAAACGTAGCCAATAGCATGGAGAGAACATAGAAAATCAATAAACTAGTTGACAGAGGACCCAACATGGAAATTAGGTCATGGGATAGAACTAAATTCCTTTTTCTTTTTTTCTTTTTTTTCATATTTTAAAAATAAGATTATTTTCTCTGTACTCAGTTCATAATTATATGATCTGTTTGAATAGACAAAATCATGTTTATTAAGAATAGAAGATTTTCAAAGTAATTTTAACACAATTATATTTTAAAAATTTGATTTTTTTTTACATATATAAAGATTACCACTTGTCTAAGATGAGTAAACAAAAATTGACATTTTTTAAAATTTAGAAACCTAGTTAAACGTTCTCATATTGTATAAAATATATTTTTTTAATTCAAGCTACAATTATCTTTTCGATAAGAAATAACCACGTTGAGTATTTAATGCAAATATAGAATAATCTCATTCATGCAGGTAGTGAGATATGATAAATTTGATTTTTATTTAGTTATTTTCACATGAGGGAGAGGTTTTGTTTTTTCTAGTTTTCTTTTCATTATATATATGATCCTCTGAAATAGCGTTGGTCATTTGTATGGGTTGTCTTGTAGAAACTGAATATGGTTCTATAGGGTACCTCTCTCTTTCCCTCGGTGTACGTATTTTTCAAGCCCTACAATTTATCCGCTGGACATTTTGAAACCGAAAGAGAAAATTTTGTTGCTTATATGCACTTTTTTTTTTTTTAAATGTAATTTTTGATGTTGGGTTTCTCTAATATCTTCCAATGTTCTTGTTTATAAAAAAAGTTTATTTTTGACTTCTGTTTAATTGCTTTGTCTTTATCAAGATGAATAGGATGCTGATGAAGTTCATGAATTAACGCCGGTAACTGTGAATGCAATTGTCAATGCGTGGTGTGGCAACAAGCCTACAAATATTGATCTTGATATTGGCCTATATTATATAGGGTATCTATGTGGCGTTCTTGGAACCACTGAAATGTATTTGACCCATGATGGTGAAGTAGGTGAAGTGTGTGGAACATTTCGGGTAACTACAGTGTATTCCTTGGCCTTCATGCAACACTTAATTAATGGATGAAAATGAAGGGTTCTTCTGGGGTATCAAGGTTTTCACTTCAAGGGCCTTAGGTAGTTTTGGAGACCCTTATATTCTCCAAAAAGAAACCCCTTCTCTGGTGAGGCATCGCAAGATTCTAGCTTCAAAAACCAAAAAGACAAGGTTGTGTTTGCTCATAGTGATCAGCATAAAACCCTTGGAGGGTTTTCTGGTGTATGTGAGGTTAAAGTAGGGGTTGACACTTTTGTTTGTGCTATAGAATGGGTGATATTAGTTTGAGGCAATGGTTAGATAAACCTGAACGACCAGTGAATGCCTTTGAATGCTTGAACATTTTTAGGCAAATAGTAGAAATTGTTCATGTGGCTCATTCTCAGGGAAATGTGGTTCATAATGTGAGGCCCTCTTGCTTTGTCATATCATCTTTCAACCATGTTTCTTTTATGGATCCAGCAACTAGTTCATATGCTGGCTTAGATGCTTTAGAAGATGTTGAGATTAAAACTCCAACACTTACCCCTAGCCATGATATGCATCAACAGAGATGTTCAGGAAGTGAAGATGTTGTGCTTGTCAAGACTCCAACAGTTTCTTTGTCAGACTCTAGTTGCTTGTTGTCAAGTTTGGTGTTTGTAGCATCTACATCAGTAATGGATGACATAGAAGAAAATAAAATGAAAAACAGGAGAAAGGAGGAGGAAGTTGCAGGAAAGAAGCAATTGTTTCCAATTAAACAAGAACTGCGAATGGAGGCGAGTTGGTATACTAGTCCTGAAGAGGTAGCTGGTGCTCTATGTTCCCGTGCTTCAGACATTTACCAGTTGGGAGTTCTTCTTTTTGAGGTTCACAACAGAAATATACCAATCTTGTTTATGTTGTTAGACTTTAGTTCAGTGTTTTTGATCTGAGTTTTCTTGTTTACCTTGTCATTGAAACATGGAAGTAAGATAAAGTTTTCAAAGATCCTATGTGTATATTTTCTATTTCAATTTGTTCTAACTTGAGTATTGTACTTGTGATCAGCTATTTTGTCCACACAGCTCTAGAGAAGAAAAGAGCATAACCATGTCCAGCCTTAGACACAGAGTTCTTCCTCCACAGTTACTTCTAAAGTGGCCTAAAGAAGCTTCATTTTGCTTATTGTTATTACATCCTGAACCTGGTAGTCGTCCAACAATAGGGTAAATTCTCTTCATCACATTCCTTTTACATATAAAAAATAAATATTCAAACTCTTTGCACATATTCCAAGTACCTGCCACTTCTATGTATTGTTTTTCATCTCTTCTGTTATTCCTTAAATTTTGTTAGGAAGTTTGAGCTTCAGCTAAGTGAGTAACTCCTTTGAATAAATTATATGACCCTTAAGCTTGTCTCTCATGTATGATATTTAATTGAAGCTCACATTTAATCAATTTAAATATCATATATGGCATGTTTGGCATTGAATAAATAGAAGTTGGAATTAAGTAGGGATGTTTGGTTGAGAGAAAGAGTCTGAAATAACTTTAAAAATAATGAAACTCATTAGATTCATATTCTTTAATTTGTTTCGTGTATTTGTGTACAAAGTATCTATATTTCACTAGTGCTTAATCGTAAAATATTTAAATATATGAAATATTAATATTTTTATTTATTTTATATATAATATTTTTAAATACTTCAATGATATGTAAATTGATTAAATGTACAAATTTTTCAATCGTTTATATTACAAAAACAATTTAAGAAAAATGTAAAAGGGAAACATACAAATATTATTTTTTATAAATTAAAGAAAAAATTATTCATTATAAATTATTTTAAAAAAATAATTATTCATAGTATTATTCTTGTATTTAAATAATAGAAAACATTTTATAATGATAACAATTTTTATTTTCATAAGAAATATGATTTGAAATTTAAATTTGTATTATTGTAGTTTTATATTTATTAAATTTTATGAATTCTTGTATATTTTTAGATATCTTATACGTATTGTGTTTTTTTTACATGTCGTGTAGTATGTATTCACAGTAGTTGTTCACCTATCCCATTATCTTTTTCTTCAAATAAAAACACTTTTAACTTCTACTATATTTTCACATTTTTCACTCGTTTCTTTTTTATTTTGATATATTCTATTTCTTTTTTTCTCTATCAAATACAGCATCAGTGAAAATCACATTCCACTAAAATTGTAAAGACACATTAGTGTGTTGCTGTGAAGTACAATGTACAGGTAATCTGAATCAAATAACAGTTTTCATCCTTAGTAATGGCAACTGTGTGATGTCCCAACAATTTTCATCTAAATTTTTGTGATTGATTCTATGGTAAGCATTATTATTATTATTATTTTGTTGCAGGGATTTGTTGGAAAGTGAATTTCTTAATGAACCAAGACATGATATAGAAGAGTGTGAGGCAACCTTAAAACTTGGAGAAAGGATAGATAATCAGGAGGTGTTGCTAGAATTCCTTTCATTAATTCATCAAAGTAAAAGGGAAGCTGCTGAGAAGTTGCAACATACTATCTCATTTCTGTGTTCAGATATTGAAGAAGTGACAAAGCAGAAAACTGAATTTATGGAGATAACTGGGACTGGACTAGGGAGTAATGATTGTTCAACATCAAGTTTCTCATCCACTGTAGTTGTTAATAATGATGAGGATACTACCAGTCCAGTGACCAGAAAACGAGTCAGAACTGACACATGTGTTGATGACACTGCTGGATTTGATGTTCAGAAAAATGATGAATGCACTCTTTCAAAAATTCCACGGTTTTTGAAGAACTTCAAGGAACTAGAGTCAGCATACTTTTTGACACGATGCAAATCAACGTTTTCCTCTGGGAAACATGTGGTTCAACATTCACCTATATCTACTAATGGTAAAGGGTCTTTTGTTGTGACTGACAGAAATTGTGTCAATAAAGAAGCATCAAAAGAACAGTTTAGGGAAGGAAAAAGTCCTTGGACGAATCCTTTCCTTGAGGGTTTGTGCAAGTACCTATCTTTCAGTAAGTTAAAGGTTAAGGCTAACCTGAAACACGGGGATCTTTTGCAGTCTTCCAACCTGGTATGCTCAATTAGTTTTGATCGCGATGAAGAATTTTTCGCCACTGCAGGGGTAAATAAGAAGATTAAAGTATTTGAATATGACACAACCATAAATGAGGATCGTGATATCCACTATCCAGTAGTGGAGATGGTTAGCCGATCAACATTGAGTAGTACACGTTGGAATACTTACATCAAAAGTCAAATTGCTTCAAGTAATTTTGAAGGTGTTGTACAGGTAGGTTGAACATAAGAGAAATATTATATGGTATAAAACCACTGCAGTCTTCATAAATTTCCACACGATACATAATTGAACTTTGTTAATTTTTTTTTGGTAAATTGAAATGTTTGACTACAAATCACCACATAAAGACTAATTTGGATTATATAATAATTTCTTATTAACACCTTTTATCTTGTTTCAGCTATGGGATGTGACAAGAAGTCAAGTGCAGTCTGAAATGAGGGAGCATGAGCAAAGGGTATGGTCCATTGATTTCTCATCAGCAGACCCCACATTACTAGCAAGTGGAAGTGATGACGGTTCTGTGAAACTGTGGAACATCAATCAGGTCAGCATTGTAATGCATGTTTTGTGTCTAACTATAGATGTATGATAGGTTGTTTTCCTCACCTTTGTTGTTATTGCAGGGAGTTAGTGTTGGTACCATCAAAACAAAGGCAAATGTATGTTGTGTTCAGTTTCCCCTTGATTTTGCTCATTTCCTCGCATTTGGTTCCGCAGATCATCAGATATATTACTATGATCTTCGCAACATAAAAATGCCTCTTTGTACATTAGTTGGACATAACAAGACAGTGAGCTACATCAAGTTTGTAGACACCATGAGCCTAGTCTCTGCATCCACAGATAACACGTTGAAGCTTTGGGATTTGTCCAGGTGTGCTTCTCGGGTTATAGATTCACCAGTTCAATCGTTCACTGGTCACATGAATATTAAGGTACATTTGTTGACGACAGTAATTTATGACACTTCATTAGTATGTTGACCAAAACAATTCTTGAGAATGCCAAATGGAAGGGGTGGCCACTGTGACCAAGGTCATTCAGCAGAATGGGAGGCTCGGTGGATATTTAAGTGTTTGGTTACCCTCCTTAATAGCTAACTTTTGAGGGTGGATTCCCACGTGTTTGGATATTGAAGAGCTTCACGCTAATCTTAGGGTCGGTGCTATAATAGGAACTTGGACAATTAGGGTGTCTAAGTTTCACCTTGATATAAGTTACCTAACACATTCCTTTAACACATGTTGTTGGAGATAAAGTATATGAATGAAGTAGATTGATGATAAGTTTGTAATTTAGAATCTATCAAACTAAGTTTTAGAATCAAAATCAAACCATTAGAAATATAATCTTTTCCCATTGGTTGTCTTAGAATAATCTAAAAATAGATTAAACCAATTAGATGATGGAAATATCTCAAGAACACATTAATATAAAAGAGGACATGAAACTATTTTATTACAGTCACGAAAACACGTAAATAATATGACTTTTAACCGTTTTTATAAAAAGACATACTCAAGGTTTAACTTTGGGTTGAGATAATAAGAAACGTCAAATGACAACTTTCTCGAACACAACTTAAGAATAACACAAATCAAAGCGAAAGAGGTGCACATTTATATTTTTACATTGGTTTATCAGAATGTGATATCATGTTCGTTTCTTGGTTTAGGGTTTAGGGCTCATTTCTTGGCAACATATTAAGTTCTACTACTAGAGGAAGCTACAAATGTTGATAAACTATGTTGTTTCCTAACACTTGTATCATCTCATAAGACAAATACAACAAATAAGTTCATTAAATGTAGATAGCTGTAAGAGATAATAAAGAATTAGAGCTAAACTCTTTATAGTTTTAAAAGATATGGAATGAAGATTTGTTTAAGATAGCTCTTTTTTAATGTGTTCAACAGTTATCTATTTTTTCTTCTTTCTTTTCTTAATCCGCTTTATCTAATAGCTTGAGCTTCTTACTAGATTTTGACAGAACGTCACTTGCTTTTTCTTTGGTCAAAATAACACTTCATTGTTGCGGCAGAGAGTAGGTAGTGTTAACGCCACAGGTTTTTGGCATACAGTATGCTCTGCAATGTTCTGACACAGCACCATGGGTCTAGTGTGCTGGAGAGTTGTGTTCAAATTTTCAATTATGAGTTTCAAGATTTAATCGGACCGACGGGTCGCCGGTTGGATGAAGTCAACACAAATTAATGACAATAGGCCGATCACGGTTCACGTTCAACTGATCAAACCAACTGGTTTCGGTTTGAGTTTTATAACCGTAGATGGAAGTGAGTGGTGTTTATAACCTATCAAAGAGTTCAGTATTCCATTCAAGATCACCAACAAATGGTGTTTAAGAACTATTGGTAGGCCTGCAAGTAGGTGACTGTGTAGTGAATGTACAAGCGTTGTATGCAAAATTTGGGCCTTTGTTAATAAACAACTACTGCAAATTTTTTTGTACGGTGCTTAAATTTCTGCGTTAGTATGCTGATTCATCTTCCTTTCGTTGCAGAACTTCGTGGGGTTGTCTGTATCTGACGATTACATTGCTACTGGTTCAGAGACAAACGAGGCACTTCCTTTTTCCCTTTTCATTTGTTTATTAGTTTTCGTTTAATGAGTTCCTTTCATTGTATTCTTCCAAATTTGTCGATAGTTATTGCTTTGGTATGAACTTGTTCTATGCTGTGGTTTTAGACTAACAGACCATAACTTATGCATTTGAATGGTCTTATTCTACTATGTTAATTATAGGTGTTCATATATCACAAGGCTTTTCCCATGCCAGCATTATCCTTCAAATTTTGTAGTGACGACCCTCTTTCTGGGGATGAAGTGGATGATTCTTCAAAGTTCATCTCCTCTGTTTGTTGGCGTGGTCAGTCCCCAATCTTAATTGCTGCAAACTCCGCAGGGAATGTCAAAATTCTGGAGATGGCTTAGTTGGTGTTTGTTGGAAATAATGATACAAATATTTATACAAGAGGTGGCAGAATCATTTTTCTTGCTATTAATTAGCTTTTTGTTACGAGAATAGCCTAGAGAGAAGTGTATACAAATTTCATGATTTGGTACTTGTAAATTTTTTTGCTCTAGATCACAGAGGAGCAGAGAGAAAAAAAGTGTGAGATTGATCTCTTCATGAATATTCTATAATGGAAGAAAAGAAAAGTGTATATTAGATTGTCTTTTTTGTTGTACCATGTTAGATTTTCTTACAGTAATGATGCACATTCAATTTTGTTAGGCTCTATTTTTATATTTTTCTTATTTCTTCTTTATTTTTCTTTTGTTTAGCTTAAATCAATTTAAAAAATGTAATATCTGATTTATTTTTATTTTAAGTACATAATAATTTATTTTAATTCAAGTAATTATTTATTAAACTCTCTTTTGGATCTAACTTATTTTTATTTAACATTATCATATAATGATATATTATATAAGTACAGTTTATACAATAAACTTAATGTTTATGACTCTCAATATTTTAGATCGCGTGAAACGTATTTTATTTTTCTAAGAGAAATATTTATTAATAAATTAAGCATATTTATGAAACTTTTTCTGTGTTTACGTATATATTTTTAACATAAGTATTTTTTCTATTTATAAAAAATTAAGTCATATTTTTTTAACATAACCAGAGACCTTCGGTAATAACGTGAGCTGATAAATGATGCATGTCTAAAAATCCATTTGTTACATCACCATTTGACAAAACCAGACTAACAGTTTGGACTAAAGATGTAATCATAGATCAAGTAAAAAACTACAAGACTAAATTCAAATATGACTAACTTTTCAAGGACAAAAAGGCTTTAAAGCCGAATAAAGGTATAACCCTCTTTCCATCTCTTGACACTGAATATGGTGTCAAGTGTGAACTTTAGCTATGTTCATAACTAGGACTGTTGAACCCTGCAAGTTAAGAGGATGGAGCTGGATGTTGGAGTGACATATCTGACCATTAAAGTGACCTTAATTTGTTTCACTCCTCCAACTTTAACAAAGAAAAGTTTCCAATAACATCTATTTACACTGTTTCTGACCAAATCTAGCCATCCAAGTTAGCCTAGTAACAAGGAACCGAAGCCTTTGATATCCAGGACCAGGTGTAATCTTGTAAATGTTCCCAACCTTGGAACATGTGGGGTTGCCAGCACACCAACCACCAGGGGTGAATAGCTGTTCCTTTTTCCTGTTTAGTAATTGTTTATCAATCACATCCAAGACTGGATCATTGTGCTTAAATTTCCTAGCAAAGGCAGCTTTGCTTGCAATCATTTTGTTTGTGTCATTGGTGGTAAGGACATGAGGGTGCTGTCTGGGAGGATTGTCCCATGAAATAAAATGCAAGTCACTGTTCACAACAGTTTTGGCTAGTTCTGGCTCATTGCACACAACAGTCTGAAAGTAGCCTTCAGGGGAGGATACGAAATTAGTGTAGTACATAAGAAGGGTCCTTGGAAGATTATCCCAACCCCAAACAACATATTCTACAAAGGAGCGTGATAAAACCATCCATGCTGAACCTGCAATGTAGATACCAACCATGATTTAACAACAGGAAAAATGTAAGGCAAACAAAAATAAGGGCATGTTTGATTCTCCTCACATTTTGGTTTTAAAAAAAAAATGTTCTCTTATCATAATTTCATGCATCTCTCAATTTCTCATTCAAAATCTATTAAATTTATAAAATTATTTACAAAACAAGTGTTGTTCAACCTCTCCCTCAATTTCACACTTTGTTTTGTGCCTTACACCACCTTCCACCAGTTATCTGAGCAACAATCAGTTCCTTTTTGAAGATTAAAACAGGTTTTGAAAATCGAAATCAAACACACGATTGAACCTTGTAATTTCAGTGACTAGTCAGGCTAAACAGCAAAATTACATCAGCTACAAATGATTGGTCTCGTCCTCTTAGACTTATCCAAATAAATAAGCGTAAGTGGACCATTTGAATAGTGATAAAGTCATAACATATTAAGGATGAAAAAGTGAACAGGAAAAGGAACAAACGAACCAGTAAATAATTTAAAGGCTGTTGGCAAAGTTCTCTTAGGACCAACCCAAAAAACATCAGACTTGTTTGTCCTGTAAAGACCTGGATCAATAATTAAAGGCATTGCTCGTTTTTCCCTGCACAATTTGGGTAAATTCATTATGTACATATCAAGATTACATAAGTCAATTCATCATTATGTGCATAACTACATGTCAGAATTTATTATGTGATGGGGGAGGGGGAGAAAATGAAACTCACAGCTTCCATCCCAAACGACTTGTGTGCTCAATGAAGTTAAGGCTTCTGTCTAAATCAGAAAAAGCATATAAAAGATCTGCGCAAACATATACCCAATTAGTCCAAGTGTCTAACGAACGGAGCAAAAGCATTTGCAAAAACTTATAGTTTGAATCAGAACTGTTGGTTTTTTGTTGAAAAAATATTTTTTAAAAGAATAGTGGTCTTATGCTTAGAGGTTATTAAATTTTATTCGGGACTCTGCTTATAGCGATAATGTGTAACACAAAGTTCAAATACTAACAACATCTTAATCCTAAAATCAAACAGATAACATTCTTAATCGTAAGACTAATATTAGTATCTTTATCTCAACATCCTTTGAAAATAACTAAAATTCTTGAAGTTCTTCACTCTCAAACTGCAGATATGTAGGCATATTTTAACATAAGAGAAAAAAAAAAAAAAAGCAAATTGAAACAGTCATATAGATGACAACTAACCATCCTGAGTCACAAGAGGGTAATCTGAAGCACTAAGGTTAATAAACCAATCCCAGTCTTTAGTTCTCTTGAGCAGAATGGCACAAGCATGAAGAGTGTGAGCAATCATGGTTGGTCCTCTGTAAGTGACCATATTAGCTTTCTGAATCATGAAAACATTTCCAACCTCAGCGAAGATAGGCTGTTTCTCAATTCTAGAAGCAAGCTCCAACCTCACCTCTAATGGTGACTCGAGGTCCAAATGAACAATATAATGGTTCAGGGGATGGTAAAGGGCTAGAAGAGTTCTCCAAAGCTTCTCCAAGTCACTTTTTGAGCCAGAAATCAAATAAGCAAAGCGAGGAATTGCATGCACAGTAGGATCTGGAGCAGTAGCAGAAATCTTAGTCTCCACAAAAACTGGAGCAGATTGGTTTATGGCTAGGCGAGATGGGAGAAAGAATAATATTGAATTGAAGCTGTGAACTGTAGAGACAAGCCCCATGTTAAAGCACGTGGCAATAAAGAATATGAACACAATTGAGATCATAATGAGAGGAAATTGCCATTTCTTCTCCATGTGAAAGGACCCCATCATTGAGACTTATCATATGTTCTTATTCAATACTCCCATTCCAAAAACTTCACCACCTAGCAGCCACTGAAATAGCCATATTTGGTATCTCTTAATATATCTTCTCTACACACTTTGCCTCTAAACAGTATCTGTTGAATCAAAATCATGTATTCAATTCAATAAATGAATATTGACATTCATTGTTTTCATAAACAAAGGAATTATTGTTTCCAAAATCAAGCATATTAAGCACCAACCAATAAAAAGGGCATTTTAAATTACCAAAATTTCCAAAGCATGTGTAGTCATGTGTTGTGATTCGATGCCAGTATGCGTTTCCTAACAGAAAAAGACAAATCTGGAGCATAAAAGATATCGAGAAGTGGAAAAGAATAAAAAACTACAGAATGCCAAAACGCTATTGTACATGTTCTTGTCAATGAGGTATTAAAAAATGTAAAAAATGAAACTGTCCAAATGGAAATAGTGATTGTATTATAACGTAAGACAGAAAAAGAAGGATCTAGAACAAATCGCCGGGATAAAATCAAAGACCAGTTCATCTCAAGCAGTGACAAAGAAATTTGATTCCTAACACAGTTTTCAAAAGGTTTTGAAAAGAACAATGAACATGCATCCCCAAAGAGGTTTAGAAAGAAAATGATAATCAAAAACGGAAAAAAATGGACAAACACCGGATCAAACATTCAACTTTTGTTTTTCTTTTTGGTTTTGTTGAAACATATAAACAACAGAAACACAAAAAATAGGACAACAGAAACTGCATGGTGATAAACACAAGGCTGAATGTTAAGCCCAAATATGCATGAAACAAAGCTTAAATCATAGGATTAATCATAATCTATATCTATGTATACATAAATAACATTGATCAATAAACACAACCAACAACCAAAGGAAACATGAGACACGAACCTGTATTTGTAGGTGGACAACAGAACAAGGAATCATGGGATAGTATATAAAACTCTAACATTCAGAGAGAGATTTAACGATTTATTGGAAGGAAAACGGGTTTCTTTTGTGTAAGGGTGGCTTAAGTTTGTAACTGTTTCATGATTATTTTTACATGTTTTTGTAGAAGAAACTGAGAAAACATTCTATTTGAGCTTAGGCATTTCTGTTACTCCAACGCTCCAGACAAAAGATGCCAACTACAATTCAAGCAATATAATTATTTTTTTTTTAGTTTATGGTTAAATAAAAAAAAATATTGGTGATATGATTTCTTTTAAAATAATTATTTAAAAAATGAACAAATTTATAATATGCAGTAGTTTGTAATTAATAACAAAGTAAAAATCCCACATCTTAAAGACAATATTAGTTCTTATATTTTTCAAACTACAAGCTTGGTTAGTTTTCTTATTTTAGAAATATATTATTTTCAACAAACTTCTTATTTTGTTATATTTATTTATTTTTATTTCTTATAATTTAGTTAATTAAATTATTTCTTTTATAGTATCTTAAATGAATTTGTTACGTTACGAGTTAAATTTAATCCAAATAAAAACATATGTTAGATTGAGGATTGATCTAAATTGTGAGGTTTAAAAGATAAAGAGATCAAAAGGTACGAATTGAATAAAATAAGAGACAAAAAGTGTATTTCAAACTAAATCTTATACATTTTGAGTTGAAACACTATTTGATCTTCTTTTATTATGTTATATATACGTGATTGTGTTTCCAACATATGTTTAGGAAAATGCTAATCAACACGAAACCATTTCATCAAATATTTTGTACTTTTCTTAGGTTTTTAAATTGTCTTTGATGCGTGTGACGTGGGAAAATGGTTATTTTAAAACAAATATAAAATGCCTTTCTCTTTTCTATACTTAAAAATCACGCACAATGTTTTAGTTTTTTTTTCCCCCAATTCCCAACTATTTTAGACTATTAGAAAAAAAAAAAACTAATTTCATTCGTGGTAATTTGAATGTCACTTACTTGATAGATTTTCATACACATTTCGTTAAAATGTATTTTATTTTTTTTTGTAATTGTTATGCATTATTTTTAAATTATGTTAATAAATAAAATTTAAACGGTAGACTAAAAAGGTTAAATATAATATGAACAAATCAAATAAAATAAAATATGTAGAAACTAAAAATAATATTTTTAAATATATAAATTACAATGTAAAATTTGTATAATTATATGGAATAAAATTATTAATAAACCTGCATGAAAATAACTCTAAAAGTTGTTTTTAAACAAAAATGAGTTAGAAATATTTAATAAAATTCATTAATACTATTTAACTACAAAAAAAAAGTTTGGAATGAATATTAAACATAACTGAACCATAAATATTAAAAAGCTCTATTTTTTATGATTACGATCAATAAAACATCCTAACATAGAGGTTTTAGTAAGTGTTTTAAATTGATGTAACAAAGTGTAAATTTTTAAATTAAGAATTGAATCCTATAAAATTCTGAAAATTTAAGGATAAAAAAAATGTTAATACAACCAACTATATATATGTAAAACTAAAGCAGAAATTAAAAATTAAGAAAGGTAAAATTACAATATCTCTTATTTTCATGTAAATGTGAAAGGGAAAATGTGTGAATTTTATGAGTGTAGCGTTTTGTCAAAATGAACATTCATGTAAATTTATAAGAACAAAGCAAAGTTTGAGATGAGAAAAGGAGGTGCATTATGTTATTATGACAACTTGGAAGAAGAACCCCACTAAGAACACAATAATCCAACTTCTAATAATTGAAATTTGCTTAATCTTCACACTTTTGATCTCATCTTCTTTTAAATTGATGGGATCCACCTAATTATTTAATGTTGGAAGCTTCTTCACACTTATGCAAACCTAATTTATTCTTATTTACACAAAACAATATCTCACCTAACAATTACCCACATTCTAAACTTTTACTTTTATATATATAAGTAAAATATAAGAGATAACATTTTCTTTTTTTCATCTTATCAATTATTTTACTATCATTCAATAGTTAAAACTACTTTTTATTTTAGATTAAAAATTTATCAAAAATTTTATTAATTTTATATAAAATTCCATAAACTTTATACTTAACAGTAGTTTTACCACTCATACCACATTTGTTAGAAAAATAAAAAATAAAAAAAATTATCAAATTAGAACCAAAATTTGGACCCAACTAATGCACATGTTTTTACTTCAGTGTAATGGTTGTTGGTTAGTTAGCTTCAGCAACTTCAATTATGAAGATTGTAAAGTTAATTAAAATTAGATAATTATATTACAATAAATTTATCACAAATATCCCCGAAAAATAATTTAAGTTTTCTTGCGATGACTTTAAATTATGCATAATATCATGTTCAGAATTTATTATTATTATTTTATCTAAGAACCTAGGTTCATTTTTCACTTAGAAATAGTTATCACTATAATTTAATCTCATTTTAATCTTCTACTTCTTTGACGTGATGAAACTTTATATTTTCTAATTTTAATTCCTTTATAAATAATATTATATTATAACTTAATTGCTCTATAAAAATCTTATTAGAAAGTAAGAAAATTTGGTTGGAAAGACACGACCTTCTATTTTTCTGATAGTTTATATAGTTAAAGATAAGTATAATGCAAAACAAGATATACGTTTTCATTTTATTTTATAATTATTAACCATGATATATAATTAATGTAATTAAAAATGTTTCATTTTTTTAAAGTAATGTAAATATATAGTGCACCAATCATAAACTAAATTGCTAGAGTTTAAAATCCATATGTTGTTAGTACTAAAAAATGTATATTATTAATTAATTAACATGAATCAAATCATAGTTAATATAAATTTTTTAAAATTATAATAAAACATGTTTATCATACATTCCATTAATAAATAAATAATAGTATAAAAATATTTTAAAAAATTCAATGCATACCTTATTTACTTTTTACTACAAACATTGTACACATCATACATAGTTTTTTTTTAACGTTAATTATTGTTTTAATTTTATATGACAAAAGATACAAATGTATTAATTACTATAATTTATTTCCTGTTTTTTTTTTAATTTTGCATTCTTCATTTTCCACTTATAATTACATTCCTCCAAACAGAAAACTTAATGAAAGGGGATTTTTCAAACTGCTAGCAAAAATAAAATGTCCCAACATGCTGATAATGGACAAAAAAATATTTTAAAAAATAGAGGTGTTATTGTTTAATTTATTAAGCAAAATTAAGAATTTTTTTAAATGATAATATCTGTAAAATAAAATTAGAATATGAGATGAATTGCACAAAAATTTTGAGTATGATTTTTTTAATTATCAAGTCACTATTATTATTTTATATTTTTAAGTTGAAATTATTTAAAGGAATATTATGTTGGTTTAAATTTGGATTTACTAGGAAAAGATAACATCAAGGGGAAAACATAACCCATATAAAGGAATGACATTACCTTTAACTAACTTTCTTTAAATATGACACAATATCCTTGAACATCCAATAATGATAGATATTAATATTCCTTTGAGTCCTGAAATATATCTGACATTCTTCAATATCTATATTATATCAGTAGAAGTTTTAAGATTTATTTCTTCCATGTCTGTGATATCTAAAACTTCATTTATTAAACAAACTTTGCCAAAATTTTCACTTTTGAAATTGTGTAAGGTTCTTACAAGAGAAACATGGAAAGATGCACTAGAATTCATGATATTGGATTCAAACTTACTCTTAATACAACATTCTTAACAAGTCAACTATATAAAAGAATATGACATCAACCATAACCAAATGTCTTAAGATTTTAGGTTAAATGTAATATTAATTCCTTAAATGAATTAGACACATATCTTATTAGTGTTGTTTATTCTTGGTGCGCGTAAATAGAGTTTGGGCCTGATGGAGCCCAAATTTAAGTATTATTGGGCCCAATAGATGCGCCAGGAGAAAAACCCTAAAGAGAAATTTGATTATAAAAAAGAGGAAAAAACCTAAAGAAATCATCTCTAT